TGTTGCTGGGTCGTGTTGCTTGATGGCGTTTTCAACTTCAATACTAAGTTCATCCCAGTATTCTACTTGTCTTGCTTCAATTTTCTTTTTCGCCAGATTTCGAAGTAGGTGATAGCTCTTTTTGTATTTTGATTCGAGAGTAGTACCACGGAAGTTTTGCCAGTCGAGAAAGGCTTTTGCCTTTTTATCAACAAGGTCGAGAATTTCGTCTGTTAACCATTCTTTTTGTTTTCCACCATTTCCATCTTGTTGAAAAGCTGCTCCACTTGCTTGATGTACATAGTCGACGAAAGAGTTGTACTTATCGTCTATTGTTTCAGAGGATGTTTGTTGCTGTTGAGGACGAGCATTCAATTGTCTTTGAAAGGCTAGCTTGCATTGTTCGTTCTTGAGTTTCTTTCGATCGATGCGGTGTAGTTGAGCTTTGATCAATCTTCTTCGACTTCTTAGATGGAATTTGAGTTTGATTCGAAGAAGATGATGATCAGTTCCAATTGCCCCAGCTGCTGTACGATGGACTCGCACATCTTCGATACTCGAACGAAATTGTTTGTTGACGAGAGCATAGTCCAACATGTGCCAGGTCTTACTGCCAGGGTGCATCCAACTTTTTTGATGAATAGGTTTATGTTGAAAGAATGTGTTGGATATGACTAGGTTGTTCAGGGAACAGAAGTCAAACAGACGTTCGCCATTTTCATTTATTGTATCCACCGCATGAGGACCAACTACATTTCGACTGGTTGTGTGCTGTTGTACACTAATTCGTGCGTTGAAATCACCGATGATGAGAACCATATCACTTTTTGGCACTTTATCCAAAGTTGTTTGTAGGTCGGCATAGAAAGGATCTGATGTTGTGCTGGCCATTTGTTGATTTTTCGGGTTGATAGGTGCATAGACGGCGATGACGGAAACGTTGATTGGTTTGCATGCCAGTCGGACCATGACAATACGTTCATTGACAGCTTCCCAAGTTGAACCAAGGTTCTTCCACGCTGTAGTTGCTTGCTTGTTGAGACAAACGGCTACTCCATGAGCTGAACGAGTTTTGTCACTACTTGAATGTCCAGAATAGATGAGGGTATAATCATTAACTGTTGTTGTTCCACAATCATACATTGCTGTTTCACTTAGTGCTGCTACTTGAATATGGTGTTTCTTTAGTTGTTTGACGATAAGTTCTTTCTTTGCTTGACGAAAAAATGATCGTACATTCCATCCACCGAAGAACGTTGTTTTAAGTGCGTTGATGCACTGATTTTGATCTTGTTCGTTAGCCAGATGAGTTTAGTGTCCCAGTAATAGGTGGCTAACCTAGAAGAGAGACGGTTTGGCTACCGGCAGCCCAGGGGCGCCTCCCACATTCTGCTAGCAGAAATGGGACCCTGTAGATGTCCAAAGACACCTCCGGCAAGCCGCATTGATAGTAGCAAATTATGCTACTTTTGAAGCTTATCGACATTTTACGGCTTCATCATTATCTAAACTATAGCTTACTCGAATGATTGTGTAGCGGACTAAAACTTTGTGTATCGCTTTCTTTCAAGCATCCGCTTTTGTTCATGAGAAAATAGGTTTTCTTGACAATCGGACAGTAACATACTCACGAATTTGACATGCATTTCTAAATTTCACTCTCAGAACTCACTCTCCACGAGAAATGAGCATTATATTTCGGATCTGAATCAAAAGTTACATTAAATAACATAGATTTTATTGGAAAAAAATTTTCATCTAAATTCAGCCGTACCCCTCCTCAGCTCTATTCTCCTCAATATTTCTGTGATCCCCTACTAATGGACTTTTGTTGACAGTCTACGAATAAAAGTATAATATTTAACGTAGTTTCTGATATTGATTCTGAATATCATGTGATTTCCTATAATACGAATCTTATATTTCTGAGTCATATTATCAGAATATAGTAGAATAGACGTAAGCCGCACTATGCGTTTGATGGTTGAGATTATCTTGGATAATATGCCCATTTGATTTAGTTGTAATATATGTGATTTGGATTTCAAATTAGGTTAAGACTTAAAGAGGGAATGGCCGATATTGATTTTTATATTAGCGTCAAAATAGCTAGTTTTTTGCAATGTCTCAAGGAAAATAAATTTTAGGACAGAATATATTTTCCTGAAAATCGTATGCATTTAAAGAGCATGACGTGATGCAGTTTTTAATCATAAAGGTTTTGTTGTCTAATTTATTTTTGAGTACAAAGAGAGATTTCTAAAATTTGAAATTTATCGATGTAATATGCGAATAGTACTTTTTGGACTTGTGCAATCCGAGAAAGAAATGACAAATTAATATGGTTTTTATATCATTTTGTAGAGCATGAAAAACTGCATGTTTCTAGGCAATTCGTTTTTATATTAAACACGTGAAAGAAAAAAATTTATGTACCATCATTTTTCTTCTAAAGTAAACCTGCCAAAAATTAATAGGTCCGGACAAATTATTTTTTCGTTCTAAAAAAATTAATAAAGAATACATATACATGTGCAGAATTTCCCGCTCTATCTTTCTAGAGTATTGATATCAAAATCTAGGGGGGTGGCAGATTTGGCTCCTTATCCGGCGGTATCCTTTTATTTAAATCTCAAATAATTTTCAAAATAACTAAAATTTTATTTTTGTTTAAATAATAAATATTTTTCAAAATAATACAAAATTTTATTTTCATTTCACTAACAAATTTTCAAAATAATACAAATTTTTTTTCATTTCAGTAATAGATAATATCAATTCACTAATAAATTATTTTCGTCGTTTCAAGAAATATTTTCATTTTACTACTAAAATTTGTAAAAATAATTCAAAATTTTATTTTTGCTTAAAACTAAATATTTTCATTGCAGGAATAAAATATTTTCAAAGTAACAAATTAATTTTCATTTCAATAATAAATATTTTGTGAGAAAAACAAATTCTTTTATTTAATTCATTTCTTTTCGTTTAACAAATAAATAAAAGAGCAAGAAAAGAAACATGCGATGTAATCTTATATTTAGCTTTTTTCTTTTCGTTGAAGGGAAAGGGTAAAAGGAAAATTGCTTTTTTCTGTTCATTTTTTCAAAGTGTAGAAAAAGAAACGAACAAAGAAAAAACAATTCACAAGTCTTATTCGATAGAAAATCGTTGAACACGAGCATTATTACGATCTGCGACATAGAGATTACCATGTCGATCGAAAGACAAGCCAGTGGGGTAGTTGAACTCATTTGCTCCTGCTCCTGCGCCATTTCCACCTGCAATTACAGTGCCTTGTGTAGCTCCTTGAGCCCAACGCATTACACGATGATTCTCTTGGTCTACTACATAGAGTCTACCCAACGTATCAACGAAGAGTTCGAGAGGGCAAGACAATTGTGTAAGAGCATTTCCTTGACCTTGTCCTCCAGCGATTACAATACCTTCTTTTGCATCTTTATTCCATTTCATTACACGATTATTGTAGTTGTCTGACACGTAGACATTCTGTTGTCGATCGACAAAGAGATATGTCGGCCAGTTGAATTGATGGAGTCCACGACCTTGCCCATTACCACCAGCCACGAGAGTGCCAATGTTCTCACCCAATTTATGTCGTCTTACTTCCTGTTTTACGTAGTCAGCAACGTAGAGATATCTCTGCTCATCCATTGCTAATCCATAACAATTGATGTTGTCAATGAGTATTTCTCCTTGTTTTGTATCCATACGACGAGACCATCGTACAACTCGGCTGTTCGCCCAATCACAAATAATGAGACTATCCGTCTCTTTGTCAATTAATACATCAGTTGGACAATACAATTGATTTAATCCTTTTCCTGCGCCATTACCACCAGCAAAAACTTGTCCATTCATTGTATCACCGTTCTTCCATTGCATGATACGATGATTCCACATGTCAGCAATGACTACTGTTTGATCATCATCAAGGAAGAGGCCAAAAGGGTAGTTGAGTTGATTAGTGGCACCCCCAACCCCGTTGCCTCCAGCAATAGTCACTCCGTTCTGTGACCATTTAGCATCAGCAGGAATATTAACTAGAAGAGAAAACATAAGAATAACAGGAGATCTCTCTCTCTGTCTATCGCGCTGTAGAGTGGGTGTGATTCTTCTGCTAATCTATGCCCACACCCAATCATGGAGATAATTAATCGATCAATCGAAATCGAGCCTTAGGAATAGATCGCCAAGTAAGAATAGTTTTCTCAGTGACGAATTTCATCATGACTACACAAAAACTATTTAATACCTATCAATTGAAGATTTTTCGTCCGATATACGGCTTCTTGCTTCGCATCACATTTCGTGTACGAGTGAAACTCGAACACCATCTAGTTTCAGTTCTTAAGTTAGGGATCACTAACACCATTTTTTAGGAGAAAACAACCTGATCGGTAGAAGAACACTTTGACTAATTCTGAAGTTCAATCACAGACCATTGTAGCTTTCAGAATCATACCCATTTTCATCAAGTAAGTTATGAAATTTCTTCACTTGCTTTAACCCTACGTTAACGTTGTGGGGTCCACGCGGACCCATCTGACAATTTTTCCACTGCTATTCCGCCATTCTTCGTTGTTTTGGGTCATTCCATTTCTCTAATCTCTAATTCTTAGTTGACCTATAATATCCTCACTAGATGTCAGAAGTAGCTCTACGGAGGGAGGAATACAGTGGTGGATCCGCGCGGACCCGAGAACATCCATTGTGTTATAAGTATGATCTTTTGTCTTACTAAAGCTGCCATCTATTTTCTTTCAATTTTTTTTCCAAACAGAAGTGTTATGATTTGTTTCCACATTCATTTATAGTGCTAATGATTTATCCTTTCTTCGTATAAAGTGAAATTCGAACTCGTAACTATTTCCAAAATCAAAAATATATTTCTGTCTACTGCTACTTGTCTATTTATTGTGATTGCTTGAATCTGTTATTAACTCTTCTAAACATGTGAGAAAATTAAACTATATGATGCCTTTTCACTTTTTCTGTTATTATATAACGGGTGGGCATAAAGAATTACACTACTTTGTTTTCGCTATAACTCAGTCAGTTTGATGCTATTGACCAAAACATTTTTCAAAAAGATTCGCCATTCAATTCTCTACAAAACCATATGTAAATGATTTTTGTAAACTACCAAACGGTTAAATTTTAAAACGAAGAGAACAGGTTTCGAAAATGTTCAACTTTCTAGCTCAAAAACCGTTTTTTCTCAAATTTGCTTTCTATGAAAGAGCTATGAAGGAACTGAGACGATCATGTTAAAGAACATTAAATTCTGGACTAGATTCATATCTTTGAAAATTTTCTTGATTAAAAAAAGTGTAAAAAACTCATGCAATTTAGTAAGAAAACGTTTTTTATTGCCGAGGTTTTTTTCTTTAAAGTTCAACATACAAGACTATATCTCTGCACACTCGCTCGAGTCATTCAAAGTTTTGCTTGCGATTGGTTTTCGTGAAAATCACAATTGAGACGTTTCGGACGAGTTGTCGGACAATATCGACTTAATACGTGCAGGTCACTTTGAACGAAAATCTTTTCAAGGATATCGAAAAAAGCGTATTTGAAAATGCTGGAAAATGTTTCTCCCGCAATTTAAGCCTGCGTATAAATTGTCGAAACGTACTCCAAATATTAATGCATTTTGAGCTAGAAAGTTGAACATTTTCGAAACCTGTTCTCTTCGTTTTAAAATTTAACCGTTTGGTAGTTTACAAAAATCATTTACATATGGTTTTGT